AATATATATATATATATATATATATATATATATATATATTGTTTGAATTGATTTAAAGATAGTAAAATTTGCTTTTTTAGGTAATTTTTGATTTTTGAAAGTGTTTTATAAATACAAAAATAATTTAAAATAAGTATAAAAAAAGACTTACAATAAGCAAAAAGATGGTCGACAAAATTAAAATAATTTAAAATAAATTAAAATGAGTTTAAAATTTAAAAGTAAGTCTTCTATATTTTTTAATTTTTGATTATTAAATGTGCCATTAAATTTTAAGAAAAGACTTATTCATGTCTTTCGTTAAAAATTTGAAAATCGTCTATATTATTTTTATTTAAAAGAAGAATCATTCATGTCATTATTTATAAATTATATTTTTTTATTTTGCAAAATCATTTTTATAAGTGATTAACTACGATCCAGTCTTGTCATTAAGTAAATTATTATTACAAAAGTAAAAAGGATTAAGTATGCATTTTGAGAAAAAACATATGTATGACATATATTAAAAATTTAGATAATCTATTATCTCAGTTAATAAACAATGATATGAACAAATATTTTTCCAAAGGAAAATAGTATAAATGAACTTAACTTAACAAATGGTATAAATAAATTTTTTCTTAAAATTTGACCATTCATTTAAGCATTTTTTTCTTAAAATGTAAAAATATCAAATTAAATATGCAAATTTTATTTTTTTTTTTAAATATTTTCTCCTGCACAAATGTTGAGATTCAAGATGAATCAATTTAATGCACTGAGTTTTTATTTTTTCAAGAAATTATTTTGGTGTATATAAGATAATCTTGTTTTTATGTAGTAAATCACAAATTAGAAATAAATATTTTGTACATTTGTGCAATGAGCTCGATCAAGATACTATAAAAAAATTAAATTAATATTTACTTTTTTTTATGGAATATTATCTATTAAATCAATTCAATTATTATTACGGATTTAAATATTTTAAATTTTAATTTTAAATTTTTTATATTTTTTTTACACTCAATTAATTATGATTCGGTTATATAATTAATTGAATCAATCTTAAAGGTGAAATGCTTAAGTATATCACCGATCTTTGGAAAAAACTCATTTATGACATCTGTTAAGAATTTGATTCGTCCCTATTATTTTAATTAAAAAATAATGATATAAATAATTTTTTTCTTAAATAAAACTAACATAAATAAATCAAATATTAAACAAATGACATATATAAATTTTCTCTCAAAGTTCGATGATAAACTTTTAAGTCTTTTCACTTATATATTAAACGATGAGTATTGAGTATACGGAATCAAGAATAATAAATAAAAGATATGCATTTCCGATGTTTTTTTTTATAGATCTCTCAAAAATACTTCATTTGTTACTAAATGGTATTTACCTATTTTTAAATTAACATATTTATTAAAATATAATACTTCATTTGTTACTAAATGGTATTTACCTATTTTTAAATTAACATATTTATTAAAATATAATTTTATTATAGTGAGATATTATTTACTCCTATTAATTATAAAATAAAAAAAAATTAAAAATAAAGATTTTCAAGAAGTTTTATTATTTTCAAAATAATATATTCTAGGTACAATAAATGATTTATTTTTAGTATTTCTTAATTTGTCAAAATAGAAAAATTATAAAAAACAACTAAAAAAAGTAAAAGTGAACTAATAATTAGTAACACGAGGAGTACTTTCTCTGTCTCTAATTATTATGGTAGCAACGTAATCACATAATTAATTATTTGTTCACTTTTGAATTAATACACTAATTAAAAAATAATAATTGACATAATGAATTTATCATTTACGCATATCAATTATGAAGTTGATGAATTAAAAAAATTTAAGATTTTCAAAAAGTTCTACCTTTTGAATAATAATTAGTTTTAAGATATAATAGATATTTAGTTTATCAAAACAAACAAATAATTAAAAATAATTATAAAATAAATAAATAAATAATTAGTATTAGAGAAAATATTAAATATTAAATAGAAGAATTATAATATTAATTTATCTCTTAGAGAAACTTTTTAGAACTTATAAAGAATAATTAATTATTAATATGATACGAATTACGATGAGAGACGAAGGTAATATGTGCTTATGCTTCAATTATTTTTTGCACATAGTTTTGTTGGCCAAAAATATTCCACATGGAAACACAAGTATACTTAATTTGTTGTGTTTCACTAATTATTAAATGATAAAAAAAATTAATTTGAATGATTTTTAGGTATTAACGTTTTATAATATATTGCATTATACTGTTTTAATAATACAATGTTTGAATAGATCGTATCGTTCTTCGTTATAACATAATGTCACGTATTCATAATTTAAATGATAAAATCTACAAGAAAAATAAGATATAACGTAAAGTTATTATGAAAAGGTCAGATGAAAAATGAGCATGATTATTAATTAATAAAATAAAGACAAAATGAAAGAAAATATTATGTCGCGACGTGATCACACCTGATCTGTCGTTACATAAAATAGATCTTTTCATCAGTACCTAACCATGAGTTTAAACAATACAATACAATATATTTTAAGTAACAATCAATATAAATATTTTACTTCAACAAATAACAATCATAATAAAAAAACAAGTTATTATACTCTCGAATCTAAATAGTTCAGATATGAAACTTCGAAACGATATAATATACGTGATACAAGTTTATTAATAAATCAATGGCCCATAATTCACAACTTCTTTTCCTTATATATATACACAATTAACCTATCTTTCTCTCTCTATATTTCATTTCTTGCTTTATCTTTCTATAATTTTTCAAAAAAGCTTCAAGGAATGGCCAAGACTAATGGGTAAAGTACTCTAAGTCATTCTAAATTGAGGAAAAAATATATTTATTATGATAAAAATATATTTATTATGATAAAGTTCAATTACTTTACTATGATTTTTATTTTTATTTATATAATTTTACAGATTTATGGGACATGATATGTTGGCACCATTTACTGCGGCATGGATGATTGATATGGGACCTTTAGTTATAGATAAAGCGGAGGTTAGATTTTGAGTTTATTTTTGTTACGAATTTTAAGTTATATGTATCGTTAGTATAATTTTAATTTTAATTATTTGAGGTATAATTAACTTTTGAATTATGATCGAAATTTAAATAATGCACTTTAATTGACTAAATTAAGGTGATTTGCTGAGTTTCGATCATAATTTAGGAATATTTATGCCTCATCACTTAATTATTTTGTCATTATGAAAATAAAAATATTTTTTAACTTATATTTTGTTGGTTATTTTTAATATTTAAGATATTTATGTTTTTAATATTTGTGTAATTTGTTATAGGGTTCTTATGTCTATGACGTAAATGGAAAGAAGTACCTTGATTCTTTATCTGGTTTATGGTGCTCAGTATTAGGTATTTAATTAATTACAATCCTTAATTATTGCATTATTTGATTTTATTGGCTAATTTTGTCATTCATTTGATTTAATTAATTCCACTAGTTTTCTTTTTTGTTGTTTGTCATGATTTCTATATTTAGAGTCAAATTATAAAAACTTTGATTAATATGTTATTTTTATCATATTAATATGTAAAAAATTACAATTTATGTACTTTTCATGTAATTTAAAAATATCTAGTTTTTTTTTTAAATTTTGAATTAATGTGATCTAATTTAACTTTAAATTATTCAAATTGAGTTTCGAAAAGCACAACATGACAAATAATTTTAAACGAAAGATGTATCAATCAAAATAACAATAATATGAAATTAATTCTTGAAATTTGTAAGGACGATAAATTGGATTTAATTTGGGATTTTTGTTGTTTAGCTACTGAATTTTGTATGGTTTGGCAGTTTCTTATTTTCTAATAATGATTACTGAAAAGAATTAATGTCATTGCATCAATAATCGCGAAATTTTTTAATGATATTTATATAAAGTGTTGATTATAATTATATTTATTATTATTGTTAAATATAATAAAAGGACAATTATATTATTATCACTAAATAATTTTTGCTAAATCTTTTATTTATTGTGTTGCAGGTAAAGTAAACTTAGTTAATTAGGAGATTTATTACTAATTTCTCCTTTAATTAGGACCCCATCATGGATGGACCAACCTAATAATTATTTTTTGATAGTTACGTTTGTGGTGTGTTTGATGGAAAGAAACTTTACTTCAATATCCAATATTTTATTAAATTTTAAAATTTATTTTAATTAGAGTAAGAGAAATATATAAGCAAATAAATTCATTTTTCTCTCTTTTATTAATGTTTATAATTTGATTGCTAAAAATGATTTATTTATTTTTAACAAGGATTTTCCTTCATGCCAAATATTTTACTTTGATTGCAACATGTTGAAAGCTATCTTTGATTATTATAGAAAATTACTTTGGCATTTTGTGAAATTCTTGATTGGATTAATAAGTTATATATTGATATTTGTAGATATTATTTTTTATATTATTAAAATATATATTTATACGTTACGATTAGAAGTTAACTTTCACCATAAAAAGTAGAGTTTTTAATCAGATATTTCGAGTTTAAATTTTAAAATTAAAAATTCTTTTTGTAAAATTAATTTTCGTTTAATGAATCTTACCTAATACGAATCTCGATTATCGTAGGGGGGAGTGAGCCTCGTCTTATTGAAGCTGCAAATAAACAACTCAATAAATTGGCATTTTACCACTCATTTTGGAATCGTACCACAAAGCCTTCTTTGGTATAATACTTCTAAATTTAACTATTAATTTATTAATATTACTCCATCAATCCTAAATATATTTATTTTATTTCTCGAGAATTAAATTATATCAATTTCAATATACAATTTAATTACAAAAGTTGATTAATTTGATTCTCGAGAAATAAAATGTAATAAGTATTTTAGGACAGAAGGAGTAGATTTAACCGATTAATTTATTTTATTTTAAAAATAAATACAGGATCTTGCAAAGGAGCTCATAAATATGTTTACTGCAAATAAGATGGGAAAAGTTTTTTTCACAAGTAGTGGATCAGAAGCTAATGACACTCAGGTTTTATTATTTATTTTTTTTAGCTTATTATATAAATTTAATTTAATTTTTTATAACATGTTATTTATTATTTATTTTAAATTATTATTAGTTCCAGTGTAATTTAAGTCACTTCTGAAATTTGAAAACTTACATATTTATGTTAAGAAAATTCAAACCATTATATTACAATATAATATAATTTTTTTAATAAAGTGAATTTATTATTTACATTGTTTGGTTGTGTAAATATTTTTATGGAGAAGTTTTGAAGGATATTTAATTATTAATCTTTGACTTTTACATGTCAATTATTTATAGGTGAAGTTGGTGTGGTATTACAACAATGCCATTGGGAGGCCAAACAAAAAGAAAATTATTTCTCGAAAAAATGCGTAATCTTTTTTTATTATTTTTTCTAAAAAAATTATTTTTTATATTTTTATTATTTTATTTTTTTTCTACTTTGGCTAATACAATATTCTTTATATATATCACCTTCAAACAGATACCATGGCTCCACTTATATGACTGCCGGTCTCTCCGGGTAATATATTGTTCGTTTTATTTTATATGACGATATTTAATTAAGTCTAATTAAATTTTATGTATATTCATTTTTTAATTTATAGTTTTAAGTAGGTTATGATCATTTTAATAATTTACAAAAGATGAAATTAAATAAGTTATCACTATAAATAATAATAAAAAACTCCAATACGTCATAGGAACTGAAAATTCATTTATATCATGTTTGATAAAAAATTATATTATTTATATATGATTAATTGTTTTTTAAATGTATATATGCCATTGTGCTGAGCATTATATTTCATATTTCTATTTTTCAAATCCCATTTAAATATATTAAATTTCAGTATTTATTTTAATCCGTTTAAATTTAATCCAATTCAGGCTTCCATCACTACATCTAAAATTTGATTTACCACCTCCATATATTCTTCACACTGATTGCCCTCATTATTGGAACTATCACTTGCCAGGTATATTATTATTATTATTGTTGTTGTTGTTATTATTTAATGTCTCTTATATTATATTGAGCTTATATTATATTTTTTTTATATTAATAACTATACATTTTACTAAAAAAAGAAATATGTATGGCAGGTGAGACAGAAGAGGAGTACTCAACTAGGTTGGCAAATAATTTGGAAAATCTTATACTCAAAGAGGGTCCTGAAACAGTAATTTTCTATATACTTTTGTCACTTATTATCAATTTTTTTCGATATTTCGCGTGATGAAGAAACTTTTTATGATAGATATTCAATTCTTTTTTAAAAAATATTTTTTTAGAAAATAATTTAGAAAAGAAATGTAAGAGTGAAAAGTTATACGTAAAAAATATTATCAATCGATATAAATATTAAAAATAATAATAAAAAATCGAAGCATGAGAAAATATTAACATATATTTGTGTAGGTTGCTGCTTTCATTGCGGAACCAGTCATGGGAGGAGCAGGTGTTATAATTCCTCCAGCTACTTATTTCGAAAAGGTCTGGTTTATTATTTTATTCGTCTCAATTTATATTAATAATATTTGATTAGACATAATTTATATTAATAATATTTTATTAGATATAAATTTTGATGAAAAATAAGTTATAGATACATATGGCTACTATACATTTCATTAATGATAAATAGACATTTAAATGTTATAATATTATTAAACATAAGAAAAAAGGATAATTTTTTTTTGAAAATAATTAATACAAAAAGTATTATATAAATTAAGACGGAAAGAGTAATTCGCTGCACCCAATTTATTGTTATTCACCTTGAAAGTTCATTTGATTTGATGCTTTCAAATATTATTGTCCCTAAAATTTATAGTATTTTTTAAAATTATATACACTTCCCATCTCATTTTTTTTTCAATTGTTTTTTTCTAGCAAAATACTTCTTACGTTTTATTTTTCGTAAATAATTATAAGAACATTTTTAGTCATTTAATATTTCATTTTTTTAATTTAAAAAAATAATAACTCATGTCTACTTTTTTATTTTTTATTTTTTTTTAGATTCAAGCTGTTTTAAAGAAATATGACATTCTTTTCATCGCGGACGAGGTGATATGTGGATTTGGAAGACTTGGGACAATGTTTGGCTGTGATAAGTACAACATTAAGCCTGATCTTGTCTCTATAGCAAAGGTAATAAAAATTATAGCGAAATGATTTGACGATCGCTTATTCTTTATATTTACTTATATTCTAAATTCTTCTATTTATCTTTCTATCAATCGAATTAATAAATTTAAACTCTAATTAGAATTAAAATAAGTGTGCTATATAGATATATATATATAATATTTACATAATCAGATCACTTCAAATTCGTAATTCTTAATTTGACTATTTTTAACATTGTTTTAAGGCTCTTTCTGGTGGATATATACCAATTGGTGCTGTGCTTGTAAGTGAAGAAATTTCTAAGGTCATAATGTCTCAAAGCAATCAACTTGGTGAGCATATAATATAAATGTGATTGAATATTTACTTAATATATATAGTATTCATCTATTTATATTTTAATAATATTTTTTTCTACAATTAGGTGTTTTTTGCCATGGATTTACTTATTCTGGACATCCTGTTGCGTGTGCGGTTGCATTGGAAGCACTAAAAATCTATAAGTACGTATCTAATTAGTTAAATATTTTTTTTATATCGTCAATATACTAAAAATATTTATATTTAATTTTTTTTCAGGGAAAAAAATATTACTGAGGTAGTGAATAAATTATCACCAAAGTTTCAAGAAGGTTTGAAAGCATTTATAGACAGTCCAATAATTGGAGAGGTACATATTTTTCTTATATACATTTAAGTGTTTTTTTTAGTATAAATTTATTTATATTATTAATGTAAAAAATTTTAAACTCAAAATTTTATTCACTCTTTTTCCTTTTTCTTTTTCTTTTTAAAAAAAAGATAAGGGGAACTGGTTTAGTACTTTCTACAGAGTTTGTAGATAACAAATCTCCTAATGATCCTTTTCCACCAGAATGGGGTACATTTCTTCCTTTTATTTTTAATCTTCAAATTAAATTAAATTAAATTCTTATTTCTATTTTGTAAATAAATTAATAATTTTTTGTTTAATCAAGGTGTTGGTACATATTTTGGATCACAATGTCAAAAGCATGGTATGTTGGTGAGTTTTTCTGGTGATCATGTAAATATGGCCCCTCCATTCACCTTGAGTCTTGAAGAACTTGATGAGGTAATAAATATCACTTTTCATTTGATAGAAATAATTTAATATGATTTTTTTTGAGTTGAAATATGCCTAAGAGTCAAGAGTCTTGTCGGAAAATAACAAGTTTTAAGGATAAAGTATGCGTTCACTCTATTTATTCGACTCGATATTTTGTTATGATACATTAGTTTCATAAAAGTACAACCATATCTTTTGAATTATAAAAGGTAATATATTAAGGACTTGTTAACATTTTTTTGTGTTTTTATTTTTTATTTTTTTTTGTAGATGATAAGCATATATGGGAAAGCATTGAAGGATACTGAAAAAAGAGTGGAAGAATTGAAGTCTCAGAAGAAGTAAAAATCTCATGAAAAAAAAGTTATTTCAAGTTTAAATAAAAACTTTGTTGTAGTTTTTTTTTTTTTTTTGAGTGTTGCTACTCATAACATAAGAGTGTTTTATTATATTCTATTGTTTTAATGAGAGCAACATTTGAATAAATTGTGTCATTTTTTATTTCAATATGATTGAAATTTTAAATTTCTTTTAAGTGACATCGAGATGGTTAAAAATGATATACAACATTAATAGAATATAACATTGATTGGTTCATATTTTTTGGATCACAATGTGAGAAGTATGAGATGTTTGGTAAGTTTTTCTCATGATCACATAAATATGGCTCTTCCATTCTCTGAGCAAGTAAACCCCCAATTTTGTCGATTTTCGTGTGCTATAGTCCATTGATTTTTAGTGATCCATAATTTCGACATCATTTTTGCTAAGGTTATAAATGAACGTTTGTTAAGACCTTAACTATAGAGTTATTTGGTCACCATGGCCAAAATGACTCATTTTAAAGGTCAAACAAGCCCCTGAAAAGTAAACCCCCTATTTTATCGATTTTCGTGTGCTATAGTCCATTGAGTTTTAGTGATCCATAATTTCGACGTCATTTTTGCTAAGGTTTTACATGAACGTTCGTTAAGATATTTTATTTGGTCATCATGGCCAAAATGACTCATTTTAAAGGTCAAACAAACCCTTGAGAAAGTAAACCTCCATTTTGTCAATTTTGTGTGCTATAATCCATGAATTTTTGGTGATCCAGAATTCCAACGTCATTTTTGTCAAAATTTTACATGGATGACCGTTAAGACCTCACATATGGAGCCAGTTTGTCACCACATGCAAAACGACTAATTTTCAAGGTAAAACAAGCACTATAGAAGGTATACCCCTCATTTTGCTGATTTTCATATGCTATATAGTCCATGGATTTTCGGTCATTCGGAATTCTGACATCATTTTTGACAAATTTTATATAAACGTCTGTTAAGACCTTAGGTATGAAGCAAGTTGGTCACCACAACTAAAAGAATCCATTTTAAGGTCAAATGAGTCCAACGCAGGTAAACACCCCATTTTGCTACTTTTCGTGTGCATAGTCCATGATTTATTGGTGATTCAGAATTTCTATCTTATTTTTGCCAAAATTTTACATGCATGTTTGTTAATACCTTAAATATGGATTCAGTTGGTCACCACGATCAAAACGATCCATTTTCAAAGTCAAATTAGCCAAGAGAAGTTAAGCCCCCTATTTTTTCGATTATCTTGTGCTACAGTCCATTGATTTTTGATGATATGGAATTCTAATGTCATTTTTGCCAAAATTTTACATGGACGTCTATTAAGACCTTATTTATAGAGAGAGTTGGTCACCATGACTAAAATGATCCATTTTTCAAGGTCAAACGATCTCGAGAGCAAGTAAATTCTTAATTTTTTGATTTGCTTGTGCTGTAGTCCATGAATATTTGATGATCGAAAATTCTGATGTTATTTTTGCCAAAATTCTACATCGACATCTGCTAATACCTTAGTTATGGACCTAGTTTGTCACCACAGCCAAAACGACATGTTTTCAAGGTAAAACGAGTCCAGAGCAGGTAAATCCCCCTATTTTACCGATTTTTATGTGCTATAATTCATGAATTTTGGTGATGCATAATTCCAATGTTATTTTTGACAAAATTTTACATGAATGTCTGTTAAGACCTTACTTGTTGAGCAGTTTGTTACCACATCCAAAACGACTCATTTCAAAGTCAAACAAACACCAGACTAGGCATACCCCATTTTGCCAATTTTCGTGTGCTATAGTCCATGAATTTTTGGTGATTCACAATTTCAATGTCATTTTTGCAAAAAATTAAATGGATATTCTTTAAGACCTTAACTATGGAGTCAGTTGGTCACCACAATCAAATCAACCTACTTTCAAAGTCAAATGAGCCTAAAGAAATTAAGCTCCTAATTTTTCTGATTTTTTGTGTGCTATAGTCCATGAATTTTCAGTGATATGAAATTTCAAAGTCGCCAAAATTTTACACAGACATCCGTTAAAACCTTATCTATGGAGAAAGTTGGTCACTAAAGCCAAAACGACCTATTTTTATGGTCAAATGAGCCCCAGAGCAAGTAAACCCCTTATTTTTCTGACTTTCGTGTGCTATAGTCCATGAATTTTTGGTGATCCGGAATTTTGAAGTCATTCTTGCCTAAATTTTACATCGACGTTCGTTATAACTTAGTTATGGATCCAGTTTTCCACCATGGCCAAAATGATCCATTTTCAAGGTCAGGTGAACCCTAAAGCAGGTAAACCCCTCATTTTACCAATTTTCTTGTGCTAGTCTATGAATTTTTGGTGATCCAAAATTTTAACGTCTTACTGCCCAAATTTTATATGAACGCACGTTAAGACCTTAAATATGGTTCCAGTTGGTCACCACGGCTATAACGACCCATTTTTAAGGTCAAACAAGCCAAGAGCATACAACCAACTCATTTTGCCGATTTTTGTGTGTCATAGACCATGGATTTTTGGTGATCCATAATCCCAACATCATTTTTGCAAAATTTTAACAGGGACGTCCGTTAAGACCTTATCTATGGAGCCAGTTGGTGACCATGGATAAAACAACCCATTTCAAGGTTAAACGAGCCCATGAGCAGTTAAACCCTCTCCGTATTTTGTCGATTTTTATGCGTTATAGTCTATGAGTTTTTGGTAATCCGGAATCCCGACGTTATTTTTGTCAAATTTTTAAATAGACGTCTGTTAAAACCTTAAATATGTAGCAATTTGGTCATCACTGCCAAAACAAATCATTTTCAAGGCCAAACGAGTCCTAGAGCAACTAAATATCCTATTTTGCTGATTTTTGTGTTCTATGGTCTATGGATTTTTTGTGATCCGAAATTTCGACGATATTTTGTAAATTTTTTACATAAATGTTTGCTATGAATTTAATTACTGAGACAGTTGGTAATGACAACTAAATTGATCCATTTTCAAGGTCAAACGAGTCCCAAAGCATGTAAATTGGTCATTTTATCGATTTTCATGCGCTGTAGTCCATGGATTTGTGCTGATCTAGAATTCCGACTTCATTTTAACTAAAATTGTACATGGACGTCTGTTAAGAACTTATCTTTGGATCAAGTTAGTCATCACGGCCACATCGACCCATTTTCAAGGTCAAATGATTTATCTCGCAGGGAAAACGGGTGCATTTTCAAATTTAAACGAGCCCCAAAGCGGGTAAAAATAAATTTTGTCTTGAACGTCTATTAAGGCGTTAGCAATGTACCTAGTTCCATAACGCGAGGAAAATGAGCGCATTTTAAAGTTTAAACAAGCCCAAAGTAGGTAAATGCAGATTTGCTAATTTTCGTGTGTTATAGTCTATGAACATTCGTTGAGACGTTAGCAATGTACCCATTTCTGTAAGACCCCGTGGTTCTTTCGCATAGTGTATGTATCATTGCATGACTGTATGAGGCTATATGACTTGGTGTGTCATGTCAAAATAATAAGGTTGTGAAGGTAGTGGTAAAATAAAAGATTAACGAACGTCATTAAATAAGTTCGAGTTAAAGAATGTCTCTTCTGATACCCCGCTTGTTCGATATGTTTAAGTTAACTGGTACCTTGGGGATAAGACAAAGAGTGTCTGAGATGCCTAATAAGAATGTTTTATAAGGTGATTTATTCGCCAAATGATCTAAGTTATGTTTTGAATTCAAGCAAGTTGGAAAATAAATGTTGACAAAGGCTAGAGTAAGTTTCTTTGATGAACCTTTTGAAATTTGGAGAAATGTCTGAGAGCTTTTCTCTCAATCTATAAAAGCTTTAGAAGAACACCAATATATGAAATTGAAGATCTACTAGTCTACTTTCCAAAGAACTAAACCATTTGTCCATACGATTTTAGAATTGAGAGATGTTCACAATTTAGTGAAGACATAGTAAAGTCTTGGTGGAGACTAAAATTGCTATCTTTTAGTGGCGACATAGTAGGCTTTTCGCTGTGACTAACGTCGCCACTAATTCCATCATTTAGTGGACATAATCGACTTTTCGTGGGGACAAGTATTGCCATTAATTCTATCTTTTAGTGGCGACTATTTAGACTTTTAGCGGCGATTTATATTGCGACCAATTAGTGGCAACTATTTAGACTTTTAGAGGTGATTATTGTTGTCAGGGATAATGCCCAAGTACCCCCTCAACCTATGCCCGAAATCTCAGAGACACACTTATACTATACTAAGGTCCTATTACCCCCCTGAACTTATTTTATTAATAATTTTTTACCCCTTTTTTAGCTTACGTGGCACTATCTTGTGGGCCCAATGATGGTTGACTTTTTTTTTCGAACTAGTGCCATGTAGGCTAAAAAATTACATATAAAATAAGTTCAGTGGGGTAATAGGACCTTAGTATAGTATAAGTGTGTCTCTGAGATTTCGGGCATAGGTTGAGGGGGTACTTAGGTATTTTCCCTTGTTGTCACTAATTCTATCTTTTAATGGTGACTTTTTAGACTTCCGGCGTTGATTATTGTTGCCACTAATCCTACCTTTTAGTGGCGACGATTTAGGCTTTTAGCGGCGACTTTCACTAATTCAATCGTTTTGTGGCGATTGTTTAGGCTTTTAGTGGTGATTACTGTTGCCATTAATTCTATTGCCTTTTATCTAATAAGCCCGTGGAAATTGAGGTTCCACAATCGGAACTTCTTGATACTGTAATTCAAGCATTTGTTCGAATTCCTTATAATATTCAACTGAAACAGGTTCTTGCTAATGGTAAAAAAAAGGGGGTTGAACGTCATTATTGCCACTAATTCTATCATTTAGTGGCGATTGTTTAGGCTTTTAGTGGCGATCATTATTGCCACTAATTCTGTCGTTTAGTGGCGATCATTATTGACACTAATTATACCTTTTAGTGGCGACATTTTAGGCTTTTAGGGGCGATAATTGTTTCCTCTAATTCTATCTTTTATTGGTGACTTTTTAAAATTTTAGAGGTGACAACTTTTGCCACGAATTCTCTTTTAGTGGCGACTGTTTAACTTTTAGCAGTGATTATTGTTGCCCCTAATTCAATCTTTTGGTGGTGTCTTTATAG